CAAAGCATCAAGAACAAAAATAATAAAAAAAATAAAAAATTGACTAGGCACCGGGTGATTGTCTATTTTTTGCACCCACATCTATCCCACCTGTTCGAAGAGATACCCAAAAATGTCAAATGTGAAAGTTGTAGGTACCCATACAGCACACTTCGTACCAGGGACGTACTTTTTAAGTCCATTTTACGTCCGTACGTCCGGGACCAACCTGGGACGTACAATGTACGTAAAAAACTACGGTACCTGGGACGTACATAGCGGTTTCGTACCAGGGACGTACATTTTATGTCCATTTTTATCATTACGTGTTGGGGCCAAAAATGGACGTACCGTGGACGTACACGTATGTACGTACATAGAACGTCCACAGAATGATGGATGTAGGTACATTCAAAGTACCCCAAAAAAAAATGCATAATATACAATAATTTATTCAAATGTGTATAATTAGGATTATCATTGGCAGGTACCAAAGAATTGATAATATATATACCCTCACCTTTTAGCAGCTATACCCTTATTTTAATAGTGATTTTATTATTTTTTATATTTATTTATTGTTAAACCCAAACAATAAATCATAATTTGAATTTCCCGCCAGTTCAATTGAACAACAAAATCTATCCCAAGGTTCCTAAAGTTAATAGGTTGTCTGGTAATGAGTAACTTGATGACGCATCTGTGGTGCCTTAGGGAGATTTGCATTATGTTGAGGGCGTTGAGGCACCCCAGATGACGTAATGAAGTTATCAGGCAACCTACCTCCCTCAAATAACCTTGATCTATTCCTGCGTTTTTATTCTCATCAAATTTTACCGATGGATCCATCATTCTATGTCGGTCATTGTCATTTTCCATTCACTAAACAAAGATAGTTAACTCATCGGTGAAGTGACTGATTGATTAGAATAAAAACGAGGGGTATACGTATACCATGAAAAGATTGGCATAATGTAATATTCACTTTTTACAGTAGGTCTGTTCGTGCAGAAATCACAAACCAGTCAGAGCGAATTTCATTGGTTGAAAACAATCAGAAAACTAGTTTCAACCACTCTGACTGTTTGTGGTTTCCACTGGTGGTTTCTGCACCACCCGGTTCACGCGCCACAATTTAAAAATAAAAAGCTTAAAGTACGGAAGCGCCCTCTACATTCTACAAGGGTGAATCTTTTATTCATCGATGGATCCATCTGCTGCCAGCGTTATGAGACAGCCATTCCGATTTTCTATGAACTAGACAAAGATAGACAGGTCATCGATGGATCCTTCGGTGAATAAATGAAAGCGCCTCAGCTCAACTGTCAACTGTCAACTCATTAGATGCCATATGCCATTTGCCTAATTGAGGTTGGAATTGTGTATTGTGCTGTGTTGGAGTGAAAACGTGAAAAAGTGTTTTTTTGGATTAATCCAAGGTTGTTTTTAATGTTTTTTGTTGTAAGTAACTGGAAATAAGTAGATATACATACCATATTTGATTGAAAAATTTCAGATTTTGCAAATTTCAAGACTAGGAGGAGCTGATTGATAATACTGATTTGGTGAAACGAAGCTTAGCATTTTTACTATCCAGCAAGCTGGCCTGTAACTATAATTGGCTGGGACGTAGGAAAAAATTTGGCCAGATTGTAAGCCTGATTGTGGGTAAGCTACTATGACTTCAATGATCTAAGCTATGACTTGATTTAAATTTTAAGCTATTAGTAGTTAAAATCTTCACTAAATGAGATTCCTCCTTATTGTCCTGGAAACCTATACCATTTCCCAGGGACGTAGCGAAGGCCTCTGGTTTGGGGGGGGGGGGGGGGGTGACATTCTTAATTTTCCCAACTTTATTGAAACATAAAAAAAATCATATTATGTAGCATCATACGTCGTACACGTTTTAAGAAGTGGAACTTCTCAATAGTATATTACATTACGAGTGTAGAAAGTGACAAATTTCACACATGTGTTTTTTCGCGCGAGGCGATAGCCGAGTGCGAAAATCACACGAGTGTATGAAAGACGCTTTCTTACGATTGATGTACACCATTTTTCCTACGACCAGAAACCAATTTTCATCAATTTTCTCTTATTTTATTTCTTTTCATTTTTAACAGACGTGCTGAAAGTACTTTCAATCCACGTATTGAAAGTAAATTGTTATGTCAATCACAAATAATGTCAACAGTATTTTCCACACGTGTGCTGAAAGTACTTTTAGCACGAGTATTGAAAGTACTTTCAGCACGCGAGTGATATTTAGAGCTTTCCAAAGAACCAGCTAGTGCGAATTTTGTAATTTTCGTATGTGGTCGTAGGAAAAAACTATTCCCTCCCTCATGAACTTGTCTCTCATACAACTTTTAGACTTAGCATATGAGTCGGGGTATAAAAGATGAAAGGCTACACAATAGACAAACGCGCATCTGTAGAGACGTCACAAGGGTTACACGTAACGCTTCTTTCAAATAACTCTCCATTCTCCTCCAAATTAGACCGCCGCATAAGAACTTTCAGTTCAAAAAAAATCATGTGTAGCATCGTAAACGTATTAAGAAGTGAAACTTTTCAAAAACTATACCCTCTATATACAGCTTTGAGACTTAGCTTATGAGTCGGGGTGAAGACGAAGAGCCCGCGTATCTATAGTAACGTTACAAGGGTATCGGCGCTTGACAATAATAGGCAATCCTCTTTACTTATAATCCTTCGTTAGTTACAATAAGGGTATCGGCGCTTGACAATAATAGGCAATCCTCTCTAATTATAATCCTTCGTTAGTGTGAATTACCCAAAATAGTGAAAAATGACCTGTCAGTCCGGTGTCCTACTTTTTATGCTCACGACTGTATATATTCCAGACCCAAGATTACTAAAGTTAATAGGTTGCCTGATAATGGGTAACTTGATGACGCATCTAATCTGAGGTACCTTGGAGATTTGCATTATGTTGAGGCACCCCAGATGACGGAAGAAAATTATCAGAGGGCTGGAACTCTGTGACGGATAAGGATTATCCCTATCCCTATCCCTATCGCTATGGCACTTGCTGTATTTTTCTTTCTTGTCAAAATCAATAGAGAGGAGACGTCAATAGAGATAGAGAAAATATCTCTATTCGTTACAGAGCTCCAGCCCAGAGGCAACCTTCCTCTCTCAAACAACCTTGTTCCAGACCTATACAAATAATATAATCAAATAAAATAAACAATGTATAAGAAAAATGTTCCAAAAAAACATTTCTTCAACATAAGAGCACAGGATTCAGAGCTTTGCTGAAATCTGAATAGCGAGCGAAGAATACGCAGAACGCAGAAAGTAATAAGAAGTTTGGATTATCTAATATACTATATTTTCCATCTCTCTAAAACACGACGCGCTTGCAACAACAAGCTATAGATATCCACTACGTCGGTCGTCGGTCTTGACTCTCGAATAGTGAATGGCGCTAGAGCCACTACTGTCACGAATGCCACGTGCCACTGCCACAGGCTAGTGGTGCTAGTGCAGTGCAATGTGCAACGCAAGAGATCGCCCCGACCATTGGGATTTCGTCAACCTGTTGTACGGTGATTTTGCAATTCATTACAACACGTGACACGATCATAATGTACCTATGTTAATTTTAATTAGTCCTCGCAAATTTTTGTCTACCAATTTTTCCCAACTTTAAATTTTTTATCCAAGTTTTCCCAACTTTCGATATATTTCAGGAACTTTGGGGGGGGGGGCGTTTAAATTTCAGAATTCTCGGAAAAAACAAAAAAAGCAAAAGATCAAAAGGAAACTGAAGAGCTGATAAAGGCTTTGCTCAGAAGAGCGGCTGAACGAACAAGGACACAAAGATGTAAGTTCACAAAAAAAATATATATATACATATTTTTTTTCTAGCTACATGACAGTTGTGGCCAGAATTGTATTATTAATTTTTTTGCTGAGAAAGGCAAGAAGAAATGTGTAGTTGTAATTTCTGCTTTTTTATTTTTAGGTACCATGTATTTTTAAGTGTTTTTTTTTTTCACGTTCCGTTTGTACCTTTCATAGTTATTGTGTGACAATTATTTCAATAAACATTGTACACCAATTTGACAGTATAATACTTATTTTAATTTGAGCCTTACCACCCAAAAGATGTATGTCCATGGTACGTACTATGTACGTATATTCCGTCCATTTTACAGCCAATTTTGGTACATAGTATGTACATTACCACATCCAAGGGACGTACCTGGGACGTACATAGCGTTGGAAAATGTACGTTCCCAGTACGTACATAGTACGTTCTTGTACGTACCTGTGACGTGAGGTTCGTCGAAGAGTTACGTACCAGGTACGTACATAGTACGTATGGTTGCTGTATGGGTAATATCAGAAACTTTGCAATGAAGTGTGCTACAAGTATACAGGGTGTGTCACAAAAGTGTGACAAAGCAAAGTTAAACTTTTTCGAATGGAACACATATTATCAACATAGTTTTTTGGGTTTATTCCTAATAGTCCGGGAGAAAATAAGGAAGGTGGAATAATTGCATTTTTATTGAAAAAGGTGAAGTATAGAGAACACCAGCAAAATATTATAAAGGTCAAAATGGGATATTCAGAGGCTGGACTACAAGGAATAAACCTAAAAAACCTAGTATATTTGGAATCAGGTTTCGAAGGCGAATTCAATAGGTCAATAATATACGGAGTGTTCCATTTGAAAAAGTATAACTTTGCTTCGACAGACTTTTGTGACACACCCCGTATACTTGGAATTAACCTCATTGCAAAGTTTCTAATATAACCTACATCTTCCACATTTGACATTTCTGAGCATCTCTTCAAGCAGGTGAGATAGGTGTGGGTGCAAAATATAGAAAATCACCCGGTACTATTGTTTACAATAATTTTTGCAGCTATAACATCAGCTTCTTCAGAACTCGGTTTGTTATAGCTGCGTTTTTACTTTTATTTTTCTTTTTTGTGGAAAATAATCGCTGTTGGGGTGTAATTAATTTATTGCCTGGTACCCTGCTGGTTGATGGAAAGGAAGATAAAGCATGAGCCCGAAAAGCATTTAATGTTGGTCTTATGGGAATTAGATTTTTTTTAATTATGTTTAATTCTTCCAATGATTTTGCTTCATTAATATCGTTTGTTAGTTCCATAATTAATTTTGTTTTGGCTTCTTCCAATATGATATCTTCAGTCGGGGCAGAACTGACCACTTCCAATAATGCAGCTCTTTCACTGGTATCTATTGTCATAGGCTCGCCAACATCTAATAAAAAAGCAAAGTATTAAATTATTAAAAATAAATCGGTACACAGAGTAATTTTAGGTGAACCAATACCATCTACCAAATGAAAGGTTTTAGAAAAAAATATATACACAAATGTGAACTGTAAAGGGTATCTTGATTTACATCCATTTATCACACAAATTAAGTGAATATTAAGTAAGTGTTCTTTTAATTATTATTTCGTTGAAAAACTCTTTTTCAAAGTTAGATTATTATTGAAAAAACAGTATAAAACTCGCACGGAATGATTATTTCCTACTCATATGAAAATTTCATACGAGTAGGAAATGTATGTCATTCAATGCACTTTTGTACAATACCTATACTGAAACCTATACTATTGAAAATTAAATACACAACTTTAAAAGCTAAAATGCAAAATATTACATAGAAACCCAAATCTGCCATCACCAAAATATCAAAACCCGAGTCAAAACCTAAACAAATAAAAAAGCACCTAGAAAAATATCAAGTACCTTTTTCTATGAAGATTGTTAAATATTTCCTCTTTTGGTTGCAGTTGCTGGTAAAAAAATATATCTAAACAAATGTTATTAAATATGTATGTATGTTGAACCCTTCATTTTAAAACAAAACAAGTTTTAACGCTTTTTACATGAAAGTATTGAATTTAAAATATTTTAAGAATATGATATGATTTAGTTTTAATTTAAACCCTGGTATAATATAATTTATATTTTTTTTTTTACCTGTAAGTGCTGAGATTTTTTTTCTCCTTCAAATTTGGAAATTTTGTTTTGATATACGTGCAGACTAAATGAATATGTTTGCACATATTGAATTTAATACTTGAATCCATACAGGAACATGTATACTGGTGAAAACAAGCAAAACAATCATCGCAGGTCAACTTGCACTGACAATCTGGATTTATTTCTTCAATATTATAAATCTCTTTGGAAGAACCAGAGGGCACTGCCCAACCAGTCTCAGTTTCAATTACTGTATTCACATTGAGAGTTTCACTAGTTTTATGCCTATTTCTCAAATCTGACAATTTGGTGCATACTTTTCCTTTATGTAGAACAATTAACCGTTCAAAGGTTTTATCCCTAACAAATTTCATGATGGCACTTATTGCCTTGTCTAACCTCTGAACAAATTTGCTGTGAAGATATAAGTGCTTGATAGTTCGATGCATTCTTTCGATGTGCATATTTGTGTTTAAACCTGCATTCAATCTATAACAGTATGCCCATTGCTGTGCTTTACAGACATATTGATGTTCAAAATAAATACCAAACTCAATGAGGTCAAGATCTTGTTTACATTGGTTAATAAAGCTGGGCAGTAATTTGTTAGAGGCAGCCAAATCCCTCTCTTGTAAAAGTGTTCTGACCATATGATATACCTGAACATAAAAATATGAATTTTATCAAAGTAACGGCCAATTTCATAGTAGAGAATTAAAAGTTACTTTAGCTAAATAGACTTTTGGGATAGGATTTTTCAACTTCAAATGGAGCTTTAAATTTAAAGTTTACTTTAAGTTGATTATGAAATTGGCCGTAAGGGTATTAGATATGTTATATGACTAGAGTCTTCCCGTAGCACCTCATAAATCTTAACACAAGGGAGCGGGGCTCAGTAATAGGAATACAATACTTATGTTGTCCGTCGTTTCTAATCTGACACTTTCTGTAGAAGGAGCGAGGGGGTGCAGCCCAATGACATCTTGTGCTGCCTATGGCAAAAACGGGTGTTACGTTAGGTGATCTTTGCCGTTCTAACGTAGGGAGCCACCAGCCAACAGCTCACATTCCTTTGGAGTATCAGATTAAAATCGACGCACTTTACTAAGTACTTACTTTTTTTTCCTTGTTAGTAACTTTTTCCAGATTTTTTCGCCAAATTTATCAACACGCCAGGTACACCATAATCTAAAAAACATGATTTTCAATTTTCAAAAAAATAAAAATGAAGATAATAAAAATAGCCTTGGGTCAACATTACCTAAATTTAGCTGGCTGCATGACCTGTACCCAAGCATTGTAATAAACTTCGGCCATATCTGACATAAAAACGTTTGGTTTTATTTTTTTGCCAATTCTTTCTCCGACACATTTATAAAAAATGGTCATAACTTTATAGTCGCTTCGGTTTGAAATTAAGAATGAGCATGGATACCCCTCACGCAGCTCATCTAAGACTAAAATTGTATGCAGTTCAAACCCATATCCATTGAGCCCGTGTGTACCATCCACACAAACACAATCATCACCAAATCTTTTAAGCAAGTCCCTTTGACCATCAGTCATTATTATTAGTACAAAATCTTCCATCTTAAAATCGGGGTATTCTTCACGCAGACTGTCCTGGTATTTGTAGAACAGAACAGAGCCAGTGCTTTTCATTTCGTTGACCCAAGATTCAACGCTCACAGCATCATTTTTATGACGGACAGACGAAGAATTTAAACCAAAACATTGTGACCAAACATTGTTCAATGTTGTATAGGTCCTTTTTTGTGAGTAAATGAAGTCTTTCCAAATGACAATGTTTTAACTTTACGTATATTTTTACCTCTTTGTTGAAATACACCTATCTGTGGCAATTATATACAATCATAGTGTTCCGGTTAGTAGGTATTTAATGAAAAAGAAAATCAAGAGCTGGAGAAGAAAAAACAAAACAGAAGTAACCAAGCAAATAAAAAACAAGTAGACGTAACCTTTTTGAAAAAATAGAAAAAGTTTGAAACACGTTTGTCAATTTGCTCGCTGCCACGCATTTTTTTATATTATTTTTTTTTAATAAAACATTTAAGAAGCTCGTCTGCAGTCCACTGTTTTCCCTGAGCACAGGGTGGTCCTTCGCCACTTGAAATACACGCTCAAACATAAGATTGGTCCTTCGAGCCGGATATTGAATTGGCCAGTGAAGAAACGCGCAGGAAGAAAAATAAGTACAAGTCTCGTGAGTCCATTCCAAGTTATTGTCATACGCTCCACACGCTACAACATACATTTTAAAAGCATTGCATTCCTCAATTTGTTTTTGACGGAAAAATATCGATTTTTTGACAATTTTTTTTGACATTCACCTTTTTACCTGATTTACCAGCGGTTTTTGTTCATTAATCAAATAATTACGGTTTTGCGTATTCAAGTGTACATTTGATCTGATTCATTAGCAAAATGCCACCGAAAAAGTCAGAGGAAGAAAATTCACAACTCAAACATGCTCGAGAAGTTATTATTGATAGGTTGAAACGTTTCAAAGATTTTTTAAGCACGGATAAAAATAATCAAAATTCAATTCAGGTTGAAATCCGCTTGAAGAGTGTTCAAGAGGATTTTCTTGAATTTGATAAAACACAAACCAGTTTAGAATTCTTGGATAGGGCAGAAAAAAGTAACCGTTTAGACATCGAAAATGAGTTTTATGAGGTAATTGGTTTTGCAAAATCGTGCATTGAATCAGTGAAACAAGCAAGCACGACGCTAGTATCGCCATCAGTAGGTACCTTGGGAGTTTCTTCAGGTTCTGTTGCCAAATTACCAGCAATGGGTCTTCCCAGTTTTTACGGTACCTATGAAACTTGGTTAAGTTTCAAAGATATCTTTAATTCGATTGTTCATAATCAAAGCAATTTAAGTGAAGTTGACAAGTTTCTTTACTTAAAAGTTTGTTGCAAAGATGACGCGCTCAGGTTAATAGACTCGTTAGAAGTTACGGCGAGTAATTATCAAATTGCTCTCGATATACTGCACAAACGTTATGAAAATAAACGTGCTATCGTAAATCATCACGTCAACAGCATACTTTCTAAATTGCCAGATATTCAAAAAGAATCCTCCACAAATTTGAGAAAATTGTTAGATCTACTTTTTCAGCATTTAACCTCTCTGAAAAAGTTAGGCTTACCAACGGATAGTTGGGAAGCTTTATTAATTCCGATTATTTTGAGCAAACTTGATTACAGAACCAAACGCGAATGGGAAGTTAAACAAGATGATGACAAATTACCCACATTAAATCAATTAACAGACTTTTTAAGTAAAAAGTGTTTTTCCCTCGAAGCATTGCAGTACGAAGCGTCTAAAACTCAAAAAATACACGACACACAAAACATCAGAAACTTGAATTCAAAACACACATCAAACTTCTCATTCAGAAATAATAAATCATCACCACAACAATGTTTTACAGTAACAGGCAATTTAGCTTGTCCTATATGCAATGAAGCTCATTATATTTATCAATGCTCGAATTTCACAAATTTATCAATAAACGAAAAATACAATATAATTCATCAACATAAATTATGTAGTAATTGTTTGCGTCGAGGTCATTTCAAAAATGATTGCAATTCAGGTGTTTGCAAAAAATGTTCCCAAAAACATAACACGTTATTACATGAAGATAATCCACAAACAAAAACTAATTTTGCTCCTTTTAAGCCCAAAGTCACCAGTAATTCAGAAAAAAAGGACTACGTCGCAACATCGACCCTCATAGCTCACGAACTACGCGACAAATTTCCAATTATGACAGACGAAAGCGCGGACATGAGAGTCGACCGTTATGACGCGGCAGCTGGTCAAAGTAACGAGTTTGAGTCAGTGAAGGATAAGAATTTCAATGAAAATGTTTGTATGTCATCTCATTTACCGAATTTTTCAGAATTATCGTTTGTTAATGTAAATGCCAGTCAAGTTCTTCTATCTACAGCTGTGGTGTTAATCGAAGATAAATTTGGAAAGTTGCATGAATGCGTAACTTTGTTAGATTCTGGAAGTCAATCCAATTTAATGACCCGCGAACTTCGTGAAAGGCTGATGTTGGATTCTGAAGAAATCCGCGCTCCTTTAGCAGGTATAAACCAAATAATAATGAATGTTCACGAAAAAACTCAAGCTAAAATAAAATCGCGATTCACTAATTTTCAAACTAAATTAACATTCTTAGTTTTGCCAGTTATTACTGAAAAATTGCCGTTAT